CCCCGCCCCCCGATTCCACATCGCCGCTTGTTTAGCCCCGCCCACCGATTCTACGTCACTGCTTGTTTAGCCCCGCCCACCGATTCCACATCACTGCTTGTTTAGCCCCGCCCATCGATTCTATGATTCAAGAGTTAAAGATGCTCTAAAGACAACAAGACTGTTCAGAGCCAAGCTGTGGAAAAAGTGTTTGCGTTCTCTTGCTTCTGACCCCAATGTTAGGAAAGAGTGAATGAACTTGATTTTTAATAAAGATCCAGACCGCGTCAGTAAGAACTCGGTCCTTTATTCACTTAATTTTACCGCGGATTCGTTTACAAACAAAGAACAATTCGATGCAGGATTATCAGAAAGATTGAAACTAAAAGAGGACGCTGTGTGACTATATTGAATCCGACAGTAATGTGAAAAATGTTTTCATTACGTGGTCACTATTGCTTTGTCTGTTGAACATATCGTTTGATATGTATTGAGTTATTTATGTGTTTTTGACCAAAATCACAGCAGCGCCCATCTGAGAGGAATGTACGCAGTCAAACACACACAACTGTCAGCCAATCACAGCAGTGTTTACTTCAGAGTCTACAATCCTCCACGTCTATTCAAACAGAGCGTTCTGATGAGGGGTCAAAACAGCACAGAAAATAGCCTATTACTTCTAAATTATGATGTTTTTTGATGTAAAAATCTTTATTACTTCAGAGAACAGTACAAAATAAAAACAGAGGCAATTCATAACCCCTTTAAAAGAAGAAGACATGATAATATTAGACCGTAAGCAGTGTGGTTTGGTTTGGTCGTGATCTCGTCATGGTGTCTCTGGTTCAGGGTTGGCTAGTGGACCTCATCAATAAGTTCGGGACGTTGAGCGGGTTCCAGATTCTGCACGATCGCTTCACGAGTGGCCAGGCTCTCAACGTGCAGATCATCGCAGCTCTCATCAAGTACGTCCATCTGCAGTCCAAGCCGGTTACGCTTCTGCGTTGGAGCTGTGTGAGCTCTCCAGAGTCTCATCGTTTCTCCATTATTTTCCAGACCTTTCGGCCAGTGCTACGAGTTCTTGACTTTGCACACGGTGAAGAAGTTTTTCTTGCCCGTAATCGAGATGGTCCCACAGTTTCTGGAGAACCTCACAGACGAGGAGCTGAAGAAGGAGGCCAAGAACGAGGCCAAGAATGATGCTCTGTCCATGATCATAAAGTCCTTGAAGAACATAGCGTCCAGAGTTCCGGGTCAAGAGGAAACCGTCAAGAACCTGGAAATCTTCAGGTTAAAAATGATCCTTCGGTAAGCCGTGGTTTCTGGTTCACGCTCTGGTTTATAAGCTTGTGATGCTGATCTGACGTCGTGACTAGTCTAATCTGCTCTCGTCTGCTTTACAGGTTGTTGCAGATTTCTTCATTTAATGGGAAAATGAATGCGCTGAATGAAGTGAACAAGGTAATCTCGAGCGTGTCGTATTACACGCACCGGCACGGAAACCCAGAGGAGGAGGAGTGGCTGACCGCAGAGCGAATGGCTGTAAGAACACTATCAATACACAATCAGTCCATCACCGTCACTCACGTTAAATATGACATGCAAACGTACCATGAAGTCCCTGATGTGCAGCTCATAGAGAAAGAGAAACGCAGCTCAACTGTGTAGTATGCACCAGTAGATTTAATCTGTTTTGTGCTGAAAATCCACCTAATTTGCTATTTCTGGTCATAAATGACCAGCCTTTTAAAAAAAAAAAAAAAATAGCATGTAAATCTCTCATTATGCTACGTTATCACTCAATATTGGATTTAATCTTTTTGCCAACACTTTTTTTTTTTTTTTCAATCTGCACAAGTTTTGTTTCTTTCTGGAGCTGATTGACCGTAAGCCTCATTGATCTGAGCTTAAACCTCAGCTTTTGAGT